TACAACCTACTTGTCTAGTAGTTCTGGGACTATTTGGTTACTCTGAAGCCTAGTCCAACTTGGTATTATGCAACTCTCAATGAATTCTATAAATTTACTGATTATGTCTGAGTTTCTGTAAATACTAGAAAGCTCAAAACTGAGCATGCAAACTGTGAATGCAACTATTGGTATGGTAATTATGCATTTATAATTGAGGCATACATATCTGAAGTAACTGAAATATCTGACCTAGCATGTATAATTCAAGAACTAAAGAAATACATAGCTAGGGTTATGAAATTCATGCGGTAATCTGAGTAATAATATGATAATATGATTTGGGACATATATCTAACTAAATCATGAAGTTCTATCAAAGTTCTAGAAACCCTAGGTTTAATGATGATAAGAGAATCAAGAATCTAACTGAAAACTAGGGACCCAATGGGTGAAAGGAAACCACTAGTGAAATCCCACATACCCGGTGATGAAAACCACGGAAAAGTACTTAGGTTTCGCGGCTGAAACTATTAGATGTTGTAGCATTCTTAAACTAGGGTTATTGAGTTTTTTTTCTCCTCTTGCTTTTAATTTTCTATGTTTTGATTTAATGATTTGACTTGGATATGTTTTAATTATTTTTCTAGGCTTAAACTGACTAAAATATGATTATTTAGGGTCAAAAGGACATAACTTAGGGTTTAAACGAGTTGGAAAGGTCCAAATGACCCTTGGGAAAGTTGCTGTCGGGCCAAACGATTGCCAGGATGACGGTCCGTCGTCTGCCTGATGCCCCGTTGTTGGGTCTGTCGACATGTCCTGTTCGACAAGCCTTTACTAAAATGGGCATAACTTTTCACTCGGAAGTCTGATTTTAGCAAGGTCGGTGAATATGGAAATATAAATAAATTATTTATCTGTGGATAGGTGATGGGACACCTAATTCGTTTTTGTAAAAATATTTATGACCACTTGAAGTTGATCAAACTATATTTCCCCTTAATTGTCTGCAAATTTTCTACCAACGGTCAGACGTCCATAGGTCCACCCACGGATCATGATGGTCATCCGTAGCTCTTATAAGAGAGTGGGTGAAGGGAGTATTGATCGACGGTAACGAAATATGGACCGTTGTCTTACCTACGGACCGTAAGTCCGTCCGTCGTCCAAGACTTAACCAATTTTTTTGGGCTGAAATTTTTGGGAGTTTCTGATCCTATTGACGGTTGTGCAGGATGGACCGTGGTTGCACTTGTACATTTTCTTCTGTAAAGCTGGTTGTGTTTTGTCTACAGGGTGTTACAATTGTCATCTACTTTGACTTATTGACCAACTCAAAGGACCAAGTAGGTGCATCACCTACTTTGACTTATTGACAAACCTAAAGGATCAAGTAGATGCATCACCTACTAAGACTCTTTTGACCATGTTATTGGGCCAAGTACACTACCACTCATTTGAGTTAATCTGGCCCAAGTTGATTAGAAGAATAAGGGGCAATGAACAACCAAGGCTCATTATTCGTAAGTCCAAAAAGGCACAGTTGAAAAGTCTAATTACGTGGATCACCTACTTGCATTAATTATGGCCCAAATAGACAAGAATAGAGGGATAATTGGTGGCAAGGCCCAACAAGTGTTGAAGTCACAAAGGCCCAAGTTTAAAGGCCAAGTAGGTGGGTCACCTACTTGACAATATATGGCCTAAAATTGGACAAGAAAGTCAGCCAATGCACCTCCTCTTCAAAGGGATAAAGATCAGATCTTTTGCTTCATTATTAAGTTGCAAAATTTCAGATTTCTTAAGTTTATCTCTTGGATTTCTTGGATTAACACAACAGCCTTAAAAGACCTTAGAGTTCTTGAATATTGTCCATTTTTTTCAAGTAAAAGTTTGTAGGATATTATCAGTTCTTGAAGTACAAGCTTAAAGGATAAATCTCCAGAAACTAAGGTAAGGTTACTTCCCATTTTTGCCTTTTTTTAAAAATAGGTTTTGGGCGGACAATTTTAGATTTATTTGTCAAGAACTCATGTATGGTTATAAATCCTTGAGTTCAATATTCTCCTATTATGCTGAATGTATTTTTGGGATTGATAGTGGCTCCCTTATTATATTGTTTTTGGGGGCACTTGGGTATCTTGGAAAAGTATGTACGGAGTTGTATTAATGTATAGAATAAATGTGTAACATCTCGCAAATTTGAACGACTAGGAAGAATCTTAAATTAGGAAATAGTCATTTTCTGAAAGAATTAAAAATCTTGAAATTTAGTCAGGATGATTTAGGTATGATTCAAGATAAGGTTGGAAAGCCCTTGAAACAATCCTTCCAACGCCGCCGAGTTTGTGTGATTCCAAGCTTGGATGAATGAGTTATGCCCTTTGAAGGTTGGGTTGTTGGTATAAGGAAAGTCCATCCAGAAAATTTAAGGATAGTTTGGTGTTTTCCTTATCCAATTTAATTAGAATATTTTTGGTATATAATATAGGGGATAAACTTATATTATTAATTTTACGACTTTGAAAATTAGATTTAGGGTTTTTGGAGAAAGAATGCAAGAGAAAAGAGAAGATGAAAAACTAGAACGATCGTTTTGATTGCGGATTTCTTCAAGATTTCGATACTACCATATATGTAAGTCTTTAATTGCATTGAGTTCATTCTCCATGCGCCAAACTTGTTTAGTTCAACACAATTCGTCCTTAATGAGTTTGAAAGTTGATGTTCTTGACATGAATTCTTGAAATTGAATGTGGTTCTTGAATTAGATTGAACTACGGAGTTTTTGAGATCTTTTAATTGAGTTTTAGAGTTTTTTTGAGTTAGGTTCCTGAGTACTAATGATTGATATGGGAATCTAAAATGAATTTGAGGAAAATATTTGAGTTTAGGTGAATTAGGACTGGAAAAGATAGAAGGAAACAGTTGGGCAGGTTTTGTCAAACAAGTCCGGGTCCACGCGGACTTGTTTCCCTTGTGGGTAAGAATTTACCCCGCGTCGTGGACAAGATGTGGAATCCACTATCTCAAAACTAATTTTTGTGTATAATTATTTAGGACCGTCTCCGCGTTGTGGACTTGTTCCAAGACGGTGATTTTGTAACTTTTGTCATGTTTAACTATTAGAAATCAATACTAAACATCATGGGGTCTTTCCAAAAACAAATCATAATCCTCGAATCCATATTTAAATTCAAGGATCGATTAAGAGTAAATTCAAGTAAGAGTTAAGATCAAAGTCAATAGTCAATTAAGAGAATTTCATTTCGAGTTTTCATAAGTCTTTCACAAATGTTTTAAACTTTGTTTAAAGACTTAAGGGTGTAGTTATTTCTTCAAAGAAGTATATGGGGACTATATATTCCCAAAGAGGTTTAGAGGAAATGTTTTCACATTTAAACAAGAACTTTAACTGATCTTTCCGAAGAGCCCTCGAGCTAGTTTTAACAAAAGAGTTATAGCTTTCTAAATGAAGAAAGCAGGGAAACTAAGCCTTTGAGTTTAGTTTTTGAGCACTAATATCAAATCACAGAAGACGTATGTTTTAAAAAAATAAGAGTCAATATATCTTGGGAGTAGTATTGATTACCGAATTGGGGAAACACAACTTATTTGTATTTGTACATACATCTCAGATTTAATCGTATCTTTGCATACATACACAGTTTACAACATGTTTTTAAACGACTTTTCTTTATATTGAACTTTCTTTTCAATTGCTTTATATTGAAGTGAGCCATTATATTGAGTAGAGTTGAGCCAGGTACGTTCTTCAGTTTGCTTCAGATTCTTTCTAGCCTATGTTGTTTAGCATTCCAATTGCATACTCGTACATTCAATATATTGATGCCTATTGACTTGCATCATATTATGATGCAAACACAGGTAACGAGTATCGGCATCTAGAGTACCGTTGATCTAGTTGAGAACTCTAGAGTCAGTGGTGAGCCTCCTTACATCCTGACCGACTATTTTACTTGCTTTCTAGTTTAGTCATTAGGATGTGATGGGTTTGTCCCAACATCAATCATAGTTTTAGAGGCTTCATAGATAAACAATCAAATGTTAGTCCTTTGAGTCTTTTCATTTTCATCTATTATGTTAAAGACTTAGGTTGCGTGTTTTGAACAAGTTGAATGCTTAATCTTTCGAAATTCTTAGATTATGTTATTATTTAGTTTAGTTAGATGCTATTACTCCTATAAATATGCATGTAGTCTTCCTCTCAGTTAAGTAAGACATGCATGAGGTTCTCTTTGGGCCAACAATGGTCTGCGATTATTAGCCACGTCTAGGGTCTAGGCTCGGGCGTGACAAACTTCATATCAGAGCATAAAGCTCAAGAGTCTTAGGAAGTCTATGAAGCTCTGCAACATGTAGGAAATTTCTTACTTTTTCATATTCCTTTCGTGCATTAGAGTGTGATCTCTAAAAAGTTTCTCTCTAAGTCGTGCTTGTTCATGTTTTTAGATTACCACGCCTCGACGAAGATTAGCAAGAGGTCTAGAAAGAACATTGACGTACATGAGGTACCCAATGCACCTGAACTGCAACCCAGGGAAATGTTTCTAATGCCGAATTCAGAGAGGCAATTATGATGCTGAGTATGACTAATCAGGTTGTTCAACAAAGAGGAGCTTAAGGATTCGTCAGCTCTTGATATTGAACCCCCAGGTTTCACTAGTTCTACCACTATTGAGGATCCAAAAAAATTCATGGAGGAACTGAAAAAGGTGTTTGAGGTAATGCATGTTGCTGACAGTGAGAGAGTTGAACTAGCTTCTTATCAACTTATTGGTGTTGCTAGGACTTGGTTTGATTAGTGGAAAGAAGGTAGAGATGAAGATGCACCACCTGTGATTTGGGCTTGTTTCGAGGAGGCCTTCTTGGGGCATTTCTTTCCCTAATACTTTAAAGAGGCAAAGGTATGTAAGTTGCTCACACTAAATCAAGATTCTATAAGTGTTCATGAGTATGTGTTGTAGTTCACCCAACTATCTCGTTATTCTCCAGAGATGGTTAGGGACACGAGGAGTAGAATGAGTTTGTTTGTTGCCGGGTTAGAACATATATCAAGAAAAAAGGTTGACGAAACAATGCTCATTGGGGATAAGGAAATTTCAAGGCTGATGATCTATGTGAAACAGGTAGAGAAAGAAAAGTTGAGAGATAGAGAGGAGTTTAAGCACAAGAGGGCTAAGACAGGGAATGAGTTTGGGCAGCAGAAGAGTAATGACAACCGGTCATTCTCCAACAAAAACAGAAGGGTCCTACTCCATCAACTGCTAGTGCACCTACACCTAAGAATTAAGGTGAGTACTATGGTCACAATTCTGGACTTAAACCTGCATATTCACAGGGTAGTGTGGCGCAAGGGGGAAATAAGCCTCCTGCTTGCGAAAAGTGTGGTAAGAACCACTCAGATACTTGTCATGAGGGATCCAATGGTTGTTTATTAGAGAACAAGCAGGGAAATTGTAATTGGGCAATAGATCCCAATATTTATCCGTTTCTCCACCAAAGAGGGTGCATCTAGAGGATCTACTTCCGGTACTAGCGGAGGAACAAACCTCTTGTATGCTCTCAATAATTGCGAAGAGCAAGAGGATTTGCCAGATGTTGGCACTGGTATGATTCAAGTCTTTGAATTTACTATTTAGGCTTTGCTATACCCAAGAGTGAGTTTATCTTTTGTAACTCCATATGTTGCTATGATCTTTGATATTATTCCTAAGCAAATTAATGAGACATTCAGTGTTTCTACACCTATTTGTGAGTCAGCTCTAGCTGAGAGAGTTTATCGTGATTATCTTGTTTCTGTCAATCGCAAGAGTACTATGACTGATTTAATTGAGTTAGACATGGTAGACTTTGATGTCATTCTTGGTATGGACTGGCTTGATGAGTTATAGTCTGTGGGGGGGGGTACTTATGTATAATCCCAATTCTAAATAAAACTTAACTTTTTTTTAATTTAATGTTAATAACAAACTTTTATTAACATGATTAATATACTCAAAATTTGAATTGATTGAAACTCTTGTCAAGTTCTTACAGTAAAATTCATGTAATTTAAAATATACTTACATGTAAATTAAAATAAAATTATACCTTTACATCTGTAATATTACGGGAGCATGTTTAGATTTTTCTCACTAAATAGTTAGAATTGAGCTCGATCAGTTTAGAAAAGGATGAATATTATGAAGAAGATGAAATTTTTTCATTCAATAAAAAAGTAGATCCTAAAAAATACAATAAGATCTAATATAAGTAGCACATCAGAATGTAATATATAAACTACAAAATACTATACATATCTTAAAAACATGCTTTATCTAGATAATTAATATCTTCATTATACATAAAAAAAATGATCATTCTAACCAAGTACTATGTGAGGAGATTACCGAGCAAGATGACATTTTACAACTAATATCACTATATTAGTGACATTTTTTTTTCTAAATTTCAGTAAAATCAATGACATTTTGCTGTAAATGTCATAATATATTCTACATTTATTTTAAATGTCATTAATTAAGCGATATTTTTTCTTAAGTTCAGTAAAATCAATGACATTATGTAATAAATATCATATTATATTCAATATTTGTAGAGTCATCATTTAAATAACATTTTCCCTAAATATCGATAAAAACAACGAGATTTTGCAATAAATGTCATTATTTAGTTACATTTTTATTCTAAATGTCACTATTTAAGTGACTTTTTTTCTTCTAAATATCATTAAAATCAATGACATTTAGAAGTAAATGTAATAATAGATTCGACATTCATATTAAATATCACTATTTTAGCGATTATTGTTTTCTAAATGTCACTAAAACCGATGAAATTTTGTAATAAACGTCATATTTTATTCGACATTTATAGCAAACTCTCTTCATTTCAATGATAATTTTGCTAAATGTCGCTAAAAACAACAACATTTTTCAATGAATGTCGTTATTTTAGTGACATTTTTTTTCTAAATTTCAGTATTTTAGTGACATTTTTTCTAAAGGTCACTAAAACCAATGACATTTTGTAGTAAATATATAGTATATTCGACATATATGAAATGACACTATATAAGCGATATTTTTTCTAAATTTCACTAAAACCATTGACATTTTGTAATAAATATCATATTATATTCGACATTTGTAGCAAAATGTCATCATTTAAATGACATTTTTGCTAAATCTCGCTAAAAACATTGACATTTTTCGATAAACGTGTCACAGCCCGATAGCATACCCTAGAAGATATGGCAATCTCGGAGATGGACCGGTGTACTTGACCTCTCGGAGGTCTTATACAAACCCTTTTGCATTATTCATCGCATATACTTAAATGAAATGTAGTGCGGAATTAAAACTTTTCACAAACATTCAAATTGTCTTTCAAAATATCTTTCACATAAACTAAAGGAAATACTAAATCTCATGTCATCAAATCTTACACTCGAAATATACTTGGGACACGGCCCATACAATCGAAATATAACACTATTAAGTCTATTACAATGCTTTAACAAAGAAACTCTAAAGACATCTATGCCCTAGAGTCAAATGAGGACATACTTCAAACATTCTTGAAAGATCCTATAATCCAAGCTTCGCTCCCCAAAACACCTTGACGTATGAATCAGTTTACAGATAGATAAAAGCATAAATTTAGTACAAACACATGTATTAACTATGACTTGATGCATAAAATCATGATAACAGTCATTTAATGGAAATATGCTCTTTTTGATTAAAACATCATAGTATAAGCATAAGAACACATTTGACACCTTAGAAACACATAAGACATCACATATGCATTTTATCACATATTGCATAATGTTCCAATGAACTAAGCCAATGTTACAGTGAATTACTTCAGTGTTACAGTGAAACCTTTTTACCATGCAACCTTCTCACTAAAAGCTATCCTAAGACTCACTTGAGTGAGACTAAGAGAGCCCACCCGTACGATCTCTCTAAGCAAACCCAAATGATCTCATGGAATAGCTATAATGAGATGAATACACAACACACACCGAAACACATAACATATATGATATGTCATTCTCCTCACCAAGGTTATCAAGAGACTTACTTAAGTAATTCTAGAAGATAACGCCCATACACCCTCTCCAAGATTACCTAAATAATCCTTAAGACTTCCTAAGTTTAGATCATGTCTAATTTATCAACCCACTTTCCTTGCTAGAGTCATTCTTAAGACTTCCCTAGATAATACATGAAGAGACCATCTTTTATGCCCCCTTCACGCTTTAACTAGACAATCCTTAAATTTACTCTAGACTAGGTACTCATTCATTTACATGCTTTCTAACTTAAGTCATCACTTCATTAGTTCATTAAGTCTCATCCATCACATAAGGACATTCAAGTAATGTCCTTGGACAAGACCTAGGGACTCACTCACTAACACCTTCAAAGCCCAATTGCATAATGTCTAGGTAGCATCTCATACCACTACCTAAACTTCATAGAACTTCTCAAATACTAGTAGGTATCCCATATGATGAGAATAGACTATAACAAACATAGACCATAATAGATAAGAATGGAATCCAAAGTTGTAACCTATGCCGATGAGGGTGTTCTACTTGCCAACGGAAGAACTTGGACACATCCCATATAGGCATATGGTTAAGGAATATGAAAGGTTTCTTTGCACTCTAGCCTCATTCTTAACTATAGCTACTTCCCAAACCATACTCACTCAGTGCTAGACTTTGTTCTCATAGAATAATTCACATAAAGTATCACATGAAGAGGTTTCAAATCTAGTTCATAACCCAATCACATTCACCTTACCAGAGAGGTTCCCTACGGTTTCCCTAAAATGGTTAAGAGGATAGCTTAATGACTTTCCTAAGGATGATTTCATGCTGTTCCATCTAACCAACCTTAAGTTCACCATTCACACAAGAAGGATACCATTACGGTTTTTGACTTCAAGGATATCATAACCTCTCAACTAGGTTGAGGGCTCCACATAATTTGACCTTCTTACTATGTTCGAGGCACATGTCTATCACATATACAAGACTAAGGATATTTATCATACTAAGTCAAGCCATATCATATTTACATTTAATAGGTATCAAGTAAAGGACACGAGTCAACCAAAACAAGCATTACCAATACCTTACTTTATAACATGTACTATATCATTTAAGAAGCACATAAGACTATAGGTCAGCCTGTATACTACTATAGAATCATCAATATAACCATCATAAGAGTTATATAACCAAGTAGGAAAAACCATGCATCAATTCTAGGACTACACACACAAGGACATAGTCATAGTCTACATGATCATCTAACAACATCAATGGAAGAACACATACTATCACCTTAATCACAAGTAGATAGATATGATCATACTCCACATATATCAGATAGACCAATCATCATAATATATCAATTGATGCCGACAAGGCCATGATCATCAAAATATATAAAGTAACACCGACGAGGCCACATAATTTACAATTATAACACATAACACTGCCACTGCAAGTGGAACATTCCAATCACAACATAATTCAATAACTACATTACATAATATAAATAGAATTAGGGCAGCATACCACCAATCCATTCTCACCACTTAAATCCATAGCTAATTCATCCAGTACAATACCAAAAGGCCCTTACCCATGGCCATGATCATCAATTCAATACAAAAATCACAATACATAATGAGTCTAAGTCAATTCAATATAAATTTATCAATCTAAGACAGACTATACATCAATCCAATACAATTCTTACATCATTAAATAGCACAAAGAAAATTACAATAGAATTCATTAGCATTAAGACATGATCATAACACCCATAATATAGCCAATTTGAAGAGTTAATGTTTTGCATGCGTTACATGCATTACATTCTCCAATATCATGACTAAAATAGTGATCCTACCTTCCCTATGTGGGAAGGGACACTTCTCACTTCTAGTTCACTCGGTGCTAAGCTAGTGTCCTTTTTGAAATGTCTTTCATTAATTATCATAACTTAGCTTATGTCATAGGATACTAATCCTTATATATTCATAGTCTTTAGCTCATTAAGAATTACATGAGAACATCCTTTTAATGCAATTCACACATGTGAGGGTGTGAGGTAAGCACATTTACATCAACATCTCATAATAAGGAACATAGGCAATTCATCACCAAGCTTATATCATTATATCCTATACAACGACTCACAAAACATAAATCAAGACATTTAAATCAAAATCATACCAACCCTAATCAATCTTATCATAAGGGGTACTTTAATAGAACTTTATCACTAAACACATGTAATCATAATAGACGTAAAGGTTTGAGATCACAAGACTTACCCCAAATCTCATTCACAAACCATCATACAAGGTTTTACCATAAACAATGCAATTGAACCCAACAATGGGTGTAATATTATCAAAAAAATACTAATTAATACAATAATGGATTCACTTGAATCACTACACATCAATTCATCACTAGTTCATGACCTAGGGTTAGGGACTTGGGTCAATTTCATAATCTACTCCACATACTAGGTTAATTTATCAAGAACTAGCATAACTGAATCATAATACATTATAATATAAACATAATAATCAAAATAAATCATATACAATACAATTTAGAAGATCAAATTCGTAATAGAAGAAAATGCACATGAAACTCATCTTTTTTTGAAATCAATTGTGGAAGTACCCTTTGGGGAAAGCAATCGCAATGGTGAAAGGATCCCATACCTTGTTAATTGTTAAGAATTATGGATAAAATCAACCTCCTTTCTGCCTTAATGACCTTGACCTATCCCCTCAATGGAGTTCTTCTTTTCGGGAGAGAGAAAGAAGAGAGAAGGAAGAGCAATTG